TTGGTCCTAGAAAAAGTGTGTCAAACTGTAATCGTATTGTGTTGCGGTGATTTCGTTGAAAATTATTCGCATACCGAAGAATTGTAACTGGAATGAATATGCAACTGGTTTTGAGCGTCGTCCATTCAACATAAATCATTAATTCGTTCATATTCATCAAGCTTCAGTGTTCATGCGAATTTTGCATTTTCCGAATAGCGATAACGATTTGGAGAGAAATTCCGCTATTCCATTTCGTATTTTGCCGATTAACGTCCTTCAAAGAGTTCACAATAAGTTGAATGTTCTTGGTTTGCAGTATTCAACGCTTAATTTTAGGACCACCTGGTCAACCAGGACCGGTTGGCCCACCAGGTCAACCAGGTACACCTGGACCGGACGGTGAGAGAGGAGAACCAGGAAGACCAGCAGCAAGTACACCATCAATACCCGGTGATCCAGGACAGCCTGGAGAACCAGGTTCGTTTCTTTCACTATTTCAGCAGTTTTCAAACTGTCATACTGAGGCATGATCACATGATCTCATCAAACTGAGCAATGTTCTTGCAGGACCTCCTGGACTCCCCGGACCAGACGGTAATCCTGGGCGCGACGGACAAGCCGGACAACCTGGACCGAATGGTCCACCAGGACCTCAAGGACCACCCGGAAATGCAGGTGCAGATGGAGAACCTGGTGCGGATGGACAGCCTGGACCACAAGGCGAGAGAGGTATTTGCCCGAAATATTGCGCCCTTGACGGAGGTGTATTCTTCGAAGACGGTACAAGAAGATGAAGATAAAAGAGCGTTATATTGTAGTATACAACCAATTGTTTATCAAATGGCCTCGGGTGCTTTTTAAATGAAAAGTGGAATAAATATAATAAAGCGATTATGATCCAACTCAATGATGATAATGATAATGATGATGATTAGTATTGAACAATGCTCGTTATGAATGTGAATGAATTTATGAACGATTCAATGATAGAGCAAACCATACGAAAATGAAGTTGTTTCGTAATACAATTATCAACGTTGATCCAAGCGAATGTTTAATAATGTTCCTATCATCATCAACCAGTATTTGCATGTGTGTGCAATTGTGCGTTCGCTTTTGAGCATCGCACATTCCGCACTCATCATCGAATAACCAGTATCTTAGCGTATTGAACTGAATTGATGCGTTAATTTAATCAACAAGAACTCGATTCCATTACACTTCCAGTAAGACAAACAAGAAGAACCCGGTTCGTTGTGTCTTGTTTTCTTTTCGACAAAACTTTTCTCATTCGTTTCTTTTCGACATGACTTCCGCCACCGCGTTCATTCGCTTTATCAGTTAATTACTCTGCGAATGACGGCTATTCCATACGACAATCACGTTGAATGGTGGTCTCGTCAGTCAACACGAAACAAACAAACTAATCCTATTAATGTCAACTTTATGTCATATCATTCATCAGATTCATCACCTTTCCATGTTTCATTCAGTTTCATTGATAAGCGTTTAGGACCTGTCACAATGCTGCGGTGACAATAATTTGATACCAAAATATTTACTAACGCTCGAACCTGGCGATGAATTCACTGAATGAATTTGGAAGTAGGTGAAGTATTTTGATAGGATAATAGTAACAGCATCAGAATGCCGGCAAACAAAAACTGACAGTGCAAGCAAAACTTGATGATATAAACCAGTTTCATCCGCAATATCAACTAACGCAAGAAAGTTTTTTTTTNTTTTTTTTTGTGTTGGAAGGAATGATCATTTGACTTCTTTCTTGCCTGTAAAATTAATGAATCCACTCGTCCGAATCATACTGCAGTCAAAAAATTGTGCATCTAAAATGGCTGCCTCGTTCGAGTTCAGTGTTCGTTTATCGAAGATCAGAGATGTTTCGGTGTCGTGAATAAGTGAAGAAATTGAATTTTGCTGCACTCCTCCAAATGTTTCTTGGCAGCATTTGCATCGAGGAAAGAAACAGATGCTATCAGAAGGCCGTTATAATAAGAGAATCAACTGTTCGATTAAGGAAGCAGCTTTTTTGGCTTCCGCCATTTTATGTTTCATGAGCGTAAAATCGCAATTTGATTGATCGAAAACGAAACTTGATTTGCTCTTGTCCAATCTTTATGGCATCATAAAATCACATTTTTGCTGCAGTTTGACGACAACGACGATAATGACGGTATTCTTTCGTTCGAAACAAAACGAAATGACTTTATTTCAACCGACCCAAACGCTACTCGAAATGAAGTGTTACAAACAAAATAAGAACTGAGTAAAACATACAGAACTGTGAGTAAATCAGCCTGCTAAAATGTCACCGACACGCTCATTATAAACGTGTTACGAAAAAGGAACACCACGATGTTATTTTGATTTTGTTGTGTGTTCCATGAGCTTGTGCGCTTAGCTTTTTGCTCACATCAGTGTTGCACTCCAACTGTTTTCAATTCATTTCGAGGCACTCTGACGAATTCACCTGAGTGAGTGAATTGAATTCAAGTGAATCGTGAGTGAATTCAAGCAAACTGTTTCAAGTGAACCGAATTTTGATCGGATTTGTTGCATTTCAATGAATGGCTTCAAATCGTGTGAGGTTTCTGTTTGAAAATAGGTTCGTAGAGACTCGATCTGGCGCATTTACTGACTGGGCTCTTCATTTCCGTGAAATTGAGAAGTATGATTCCCTTAGACGTAGCTGACCTTCGTTAGATGAATGATTATGATTGAAATCAGTAGAAGCCATATGGAAAAAGGCTTTCCGTAAAACTTATCTGTTTCTTAATTAAATCCTTATTAAGAAGAATTGCAAGGCAATGATTTTAGAAGATTACTCAGAACTTGCCTTACAATTAGGAAATTGCTATTGGTGTTTATCTCAAGATATGGCAGAGCATTTCTTTGACAGAATTCATTCTCAGAATGCGATTGAGCGAAAAGAGCATCACTATAACCCAGATGCATCTAATTTCCCTTTCGACTCATGTTTGGGGAAAAGAGTAAAAATTGTTTTTGAGAAAGCAGTTTAGATGNTCAAAAACATTATTATCCTCGTGAGGAAAACTGATGTAAACAAATCCAACTTTTTTCATCAGACTTTTCGGAATCTCAGAGAATCAAATAGCCACTGATAATTTCCAGCTTTGTTTGGATATAGATGTATTTTTCATTTACGTAAGCCTTTCTTCTTGAATGAACCACATAATGAGCCTAACGATCCATCACAAAAGAATCGTTGAAAAGTTTTATCGGACTCAGGATATTGTGCATCCATGCATGAGCTGATCAAGTTTTTGCGCATAGAGATTATTGGCTACTCATTGGTGCAGTACAAATGCGCATGAGCATAATTTGAACGCGTGAAACAGCTCAGCGATCGATGCATCCCTTCCATATTTCGTTATTAACGAACATAGTCGAAGATCGATACAGCTGAGACAGTCCAGCTAACAGATGAAGCTGAAAAATAGTGTGAACACTAAACGAATTGCATGCCGACTGCAAGTGTAGATGAAGAAAGTGTGAGTGGGATTGGATGAATGTGCGATAGATTCGAGTTGAGTAAATTGAAGCAAGGATGAAGCTAGAGAGGGAGTGCATTGATGAAACGGAATAAAAGCACGATAGAGAAGATGTGGGCTTGGAGAGTGGATAATAATATTTGTTGAAATCATCGATGAAGGATGCTCTGGCTGGTACTGCTTAAAGTGCGGAAATATGCCGCTTTTTAAGAAGGAGAAGAAGGCCGAAAATGACCGAGCTCGTGCCATTAAGGATCGATACGAATTTAAGGATGTGCTCGGGACTGGAGCCTTCTCAAAGGTCACCTTACTGTTACTAATATGTTTCATTATCATTTCTGTTATTTATTATTTGCTTGTTATTTTATTATTACTATTTGATATTGTTTTAAACGTT